CTTTTTAGATATTTCTGTTTGTTTTCGATTGTTGTTGTCGTTCGAGTTCTTTTTTCTTTTCACTCCACTTAAGTGCTTGTATGACTTCTTTTATCGGTGGTATTCGTTAGTGTCACAATATAACGAATGAGTAAAAACGGATTTATTGCAGCATGATTTCATACGTTGCATCATATTTCACGTTCATTTTATAAAATCTGGAAGTTTTCCCTCTCTTTCTCTTTATATGATCATAATTCTAGCAAAATCTCTAGTGTTTCCGCACTAGATTCTTGAAAGATCCAAGGAAGTTCCTGCAGGGAAGTTCAGTGTTTTTTTTCCTGAGGAAACAACGAAATTCTGAAGAAACTGTCTAGCGACGGAGTTACAAGATCCTGACAGACTTTAAAACAGATTGGATTAAGATCCTGAGCAGCTTTCCATAGTTTTTTTTTATCAGCATCCTGTCAGAATTTTAATAATTTCTAATTGAAAAAGAAATCTCTGTCTATATCTTACAGAATTTCACAAGCTTTTCTTGAATATGTTAGTAGACCGCTTGAAAGGATCTTTACAAGATTTGCACAAGAGAAATGAGCACAGAGTATATTCATCTCTAGATCTTCAGTTGACAAATCAATTAGCTTATCCGGCTACGCTGTGCCATATTATAAAATATAGTTACAAGTTTTCATATTTTTAATTGTTTTTGTGGAACTCACATATATTTTCGAAGAAAATAGTGAGTGTAAGTTTTAAGTTCAAGTTTTCGCGGCTCCCCCCGCCCTCTCCATTACAGACACCCCACATTATAGATCTTAGCAATCAATATAAAACATGTTAGATTTTCTAGTTTTTTTTTTTTGAAAATTGATCAAGTTATTATTTAAAAAAAAAATAATCAATATCATTATTTGTGACTTCATTAATGTATATCATAGTGTGTAAGATCTGCTGTAGATATCATAGATATGTAAAACACACTTTTTTGTCAATCAGCTCAATGATTATAATAATAAGAATGATAAATTAAGAAAAACGAATTAGAAAAAAATAAAAAAAATAATGAGCGAATAGTAACAATGAAAACAAAAAACAGGGCGCCCGTCAGGAAACGAAAAATAAAAAATTCTTTATTTTGCACCTTCTGTATTTCGTATTAATATAACGAAGCTGAAGAACATATGTGAGTTTCACATTTCAGCCCCAAAGGGGCTGCGCTAACAAGCTTTTTATAACTGAATTTAATGTAAACACAAATTATCTCATAATAGATTTTAAAAATACAATATCATTTTAAATAGTCTTTAGTTTAATGAATTTCACATTTTTTTAGTTCAATTCGATGTAAAAAAATCTATTTCTAATTTTTTCTACATGTAACCCACACTATGAACAGATTCTATCAAATAACTCCCCGTCTCGTACTAAAATTATCTATTAAATGAAAAAAAAATACTGCAATATATCTTGAATTTGTTGTTCAGGTGCACGGATTGATCTAGGTTATTCTGCAGGTAAACTCAAACATATATAAAGGAAATTAATACAAAATAAACTAAACTGGAAAAGACATCAGCATATTTAATATCAATATGAAACGACGAAAGCTTATCGGCGTTCTTTCTCAGCTTGAATGGTTTCTTGAATTGTATTTAAACGAGAATCTGTCGGACTGAAAATTTTCGAACACAATCAAAGCATAAATTGATACTCTTAATGAAATTTTCTAATCGAAATTGGATACTTATCCCGAAAACACGAAATATTTTTTCTGATTTGTTGGATTCGGTGATTGACGCACTTTACACATTTCTCAAACAACTAGAGCTTGTTATGTTCAGTGCCAACCAGACTTGCTCTAATCTAAGCTATTCATTCTAGAAGAAGCAGTTGATTACAGATTTTGAAAGATTACTGAATGGCCAATGATTTTAACAAAACTTCTTTGACCTATAACAATATGATATATATTCACCAATAGTGTGTGGTGCCTGTTTAATTGACTGTAAGATATTTTATTTTATCTAAATATTTATCTAACAATGGAAGTGTGTGCGCTGTAACTCAAGGAGGCTAGACATACTCGGATAAAATTACTGATCTCACTGACAAAGTAACAAATTTAAAATATAACGTGCCTATGGCGTACCTGGACTGAGATAATCGAATTTCAAGCTATATATAGTTTAGACATAAGAACGAAAAGAAAAAACTTGAAAATTATTCATATTGATTTTCTTTAACAATCGATTGGTTTTTAGACCGAAAATTTCCAGAACATTTTAGAAAGTTATCAATCACATTAAGAAGTTTTCATATCTTCTGGCAATTTCGTACTATCGAACGAGAAAAGACAGGTTTTAATTGATCTAAATCCCTAAATTTTCAATACCAATCGAAACAATAAGTGCTGTTCCCATATTAACATAATTTTTTCTCAATTTTTCGACACTGTCTCCAATGTCATCGTTGAACACCAATATAGTTTAAGAATAATCCACTTATAACCATCATCCAAGCATGCCCTGTCTCTTAGTAATGTCTATATATGTAAATATTCCTATAAACCACCGAGTAACGGATCAATCTACTTAACTTCTTGATATATCACATACGAATCGTTTGTGACACTGTATATTTTCTAGTTTGATAATACGAAACTGTCATAAGATATGAAAACTAGTAGTCTTAATTTGATTGATAATTTTCTAAAAGATTCTGGAAAGTTTCAGTCTGAAAGCCAATCAATTGTTAAAAAACCTCAATATAAATAATTTTTGTGTTTTTTTCGTTTGTATGTCTAAACTGTATATACCTTGAAACTCGAGTATTTCAGTCCAGGTACGCCATAGAAACGTCATATCTTAAATTTGCTCGTTTGACAATGAGACCTTTAATCTGACTCGACTATGTCTAATCTTCTTGGGTTACAACACGCACATTTCCATTGTTAGATAAATAATTTCTTTTAAGTACTTCATTATTATCCATTACATATAGTACATCAAGATTGTGACGAATTCATTGTATTTAATGATATCTACAGCAATAATTATTGTGTTAATGATACAGTGATGCGTAAACAATAGATATTTTATTTCTTAGCGTGAATGAATTGATATTTAATCATTGTTTAAATTGTACAGAAACAATTGAATCATGTGATATTACTCGAAAACATAAACTTAACGTTCTTCATCAATTCGTTTGAACATAGTATTAATTTGCTTGGATTTTTTCTAGTTTCAATTATATGATCAGTATCTCTTTTTTAATGTGGATCTCAAACGAACTTGTGTGAATATTTTGTTTTAATTATTATTAAATACTAAAATTGAAATGAGATCTGAAAATCATCTCATAGTCATTTGTTCTCATATGATAAACTTCACTCTAGATGATGCATTATAGACCCAGATAAGTGAACGAATTCAATTGATGATATGAATTTAGAAACTAAAATCTATTAAAAAGCAGATAATTTTGCCAATTTCATCTGTTAACTATTTAATAAAAAGACAAAAATGTCATTCAAATATTTTTCAACGTATTTTCAAGTATTCAATATAACTTATGATGGGAGCTATTGCTGCCATAGTAAAAAACACAATACTGATAAAAATATAAGAGCAATGTATCCTTGACTTTTTTTGTACGATACCTAACATTTAACTTAAAGTCAAAGAGTGGTTTCAATAGTCAATGAAGTTCGCTATCAAATGCATTCCATGCTAGAATTTCATAGATGGATGATGAGAAGAAGTTTTTTCCAAAATCAAACAGGACAGCTTTCAGGTCCTGAAAGATTGTGTCGAAATTACTTTCTAATAGTATTTATTTAAGACGTATAAAAATTCTGAACAAAATAAGTGGTTGCAGTATTTCCTACGACCTTTTCTTAAAAAGCTTTGGGTATCATGAAAAACAATAAATGTGTTGTTACGACGACTTTTAGCAATGTTGCGATACATTTCGCTTTGTTTTCATTTTTGTGATGCTCATAACTATTTAAGGAGAGATCGTAAGAAATACAGCAACTTCTCATCTTATTCAGGATTTTTTGCTCTTTAAAATAGTACTCTTTCAAACTAATTTCCATGCAGTCTTCTGTGCTGTGAAAACCGCTGCATCAGCTTTTTGAGAAAACTCCTTCCCATAGTCTAACTATAAAATTTCAGCCTGAAATGCATTTCGTAGCGAACGTCATTGGATATTTTAATATTTGATATCATAGAAAAATATTTAAAATATATTGGCCTTATATTTTCCACCAGTACTGTGGAAATCAATATCTTCAAGTGATTATTCTCAAGTTTCAATCGACTAAATTTCGAAATAAGATTTTTAACTCGAGAAAATTTTAAATCAAATTCAAAGTTCTCACTCTTCGCGCATCAATATTTTCCATTTTCACCGATTTCAATATTGCAGAATGAATTGATAACCAGAAACGAATCCGAATCAAGAATGAACTAGTTCCGCACATCTACATACAGTAATACTCGAAGTTATTACATCAAACTGTAGTTAACATAAAACATTTTTTTGTAAAAGAAATTCTTGCAAATAAAATTGCACCAAATCAAGTAGTAAAACAACTGAATTTTTCTTTTAATAACTTCTAAATTAATATACAATTATTTTTTTTTCGGATGAAATTGTTTCAAGAAGTATTGAAAATTCTCCTTTTATAACAGATGATGATTTTCATGAATTTTTATTTCCAATCTTCAAATAGAAATAAAATGTGCTCAATTATGAGAATTTTTTAAATTAAAATTTCAAAATATGACAAAAACGAATAATTTTAAGATTTTCATGTAACAATTGGTCAATATAATACTTTGTTTTCTGTGTGTTCTATTCTATCTAACAGATCGACTTTAAAAAAAAGAAAATAATTTTTACTTTAAATGATAATTTATTTATTAATTTCAAACAAGAAAAAACACATATCGAAAAGCTTTTTTAGTCCTAATCAATTTTTTTTCTGTAATTTAACATGTTTCTGTTTTTTGTTATTGATTCATTTTTTCTATCAAATCAGATCGGTCTAATAAGCGATCAATATGTTCATCTGATATAAGATCATTTTCTGTAATAACTGTTCGTTGTTCAATTTTTGTTATACCTTCAACTAATTCAGCTAAATTAATTGATTTGGCTTGTTCACCTTGAGGATCAAATGATAAAACCTAGAAAAAACAACAATTATTTCGTTTACTTCATGAAATATCAAAGATTAACTTACTGTTTCATATGCATCAAAACCTTGCTTAAGTTCTAGAAATTGGAAAAAAAAGATGTTTAATTTTGAAATAATAAAAATAAAAGACGAACCGTCATGTACAATTAATTTTTCCATAATTTGTTTTGAACATGCACGTTTATATACACGCTCATCAATAGTATTACGAACAATAAATCGATAAACAATAACAGGTTTTGTTTGTCCAATACGATGAGCACGATCTTGTGCTTGAATATCAATCATAGGATTCTAATATGAAGAAAAAAGAAAATTTTCTCAATCAAAATATAAATTATATATTTTCTTAAAATTATTTTGCTTTATTTAAAGCTCTTTTTTTCATATATAGTATACAGAATCTTTTCGTATTTATATTTTGGAAATCAGTGACCATGGGAGTATGTAATTTTAAGATTACAAATAGTCAGTTGGTAATCAATCTTTAGTATTGGCTCGAAGAACAAATGCTTATATTATATTCATGCTCGATATAATTCAATAATCAGCTAATTTTTATTCTTTCTAAACCTCATGAATTTGTCTAAACACTTCATTCAACTCTATGTATAAAGCATCTTGTGATGGAAGTCCTCCAACTGATAAATCGTTATTAAGTCGAGACTATGTGCATTATGCAGACCCAAATGAGCTATGAATACGCTGAAACGAATTCCTGTCGTTAACTTATTGCTGCGGAGATAGATACCGTCCTTCTACGATATTCTTTAAATGGATGCTGTAATCCAGAAAAATTGATTTTCGAATTTTGACTTGAAACTTTGCATAGAGGTAGGCCTTAATGAGAGTAATTTATTGTGAAAGCTTCAGATCTTTTCATTGGCTTCTATTCTGAAATAAGAGCATCAAGTCTATCGATTTATATGAGAGATGTAAAAGACATGCCATTACCATAGTTTTATCGTAGAGTAAGAACCGCAACAATATCTCAAATATTCAGAATAAACTACTTTTGATTAGGATAGCCTCTATGCAAAGTATCAAATCGAAATATGAAAATCAATTCTTTGTTATCACGGTATTCATTTAAAAAATACCGTAAAGGTAGGTTCCGCATCTCCTCAACAATAAACTAAGGACATGAACTCTTTTCAACCTATTCATAGTTTATTTCGGTCTACCTAATGCACACAGTTTCGACTCGCAAGCGGTTTATAAACTGGAAGGCTTCCTTCATTAATTTAAACGTCAAATATGAGTAAACAAAAAGGTAGATTACATTTACAACTCGAAGCTTAGAAAACAATGATAACATGAATTCTATTCGACAAAAATATAATACCACTTCTCTCACTCTCCTCTGTCAAGATAGTTGATGAAGAATATTTTAAGTTATCCGATAGAATTTTTCTTTTCATTATACAATTACTTTTTGTTTTATATTAACGGAGAATAGCTATCATTTTTTATTTCGTACGATAGAGAATTAACAGCAGCCTAATATCCAGCCAAGAGGAAAACTTAATCTTTTTGAGAGTGTAAGAGTATTTACCCAATCTGAATTGAACAAAATAACGGTATCAGCTGCCATTAAATTCAAACCTAAACCACCAGCTCTTGTACTAATTAAAAATATAAAAACATCTGGTTCTTTATTAAATGTCGAAATCTAAAAAATCCAATCGAAATTAAAAAAAAATTCTTTAACTAATTCCATAAAACATACAGCATCGATTCTTTCTTCAAAAGTTGTATGTCCATCAAGTCTTGTATAACCATAATTTCGATGTTCACACATTGCTTCAAGTAAATCAAGAAAAATAACCAATGTTGAAAAGATCAATACCTAGATTTTTATTCGTCCGTTTCTTTTTTCTTGTCAATCAAATACAATGCTAAACCTTACTTTATGATTAGTTTGACCTAATTTTGCAAGCATTTTATCTAATAAGATAAATTTTCCACTATTTGTTATTATATCTTCATTAACAATAATTTCTCCATTTTCATCTCTTGGTGCATCAAGTAAATATGGATGTGTACAAGCACGAAGAAGTGGAAATATTACACTTCGACCTGTTATTTTCTTTGCAATAACATCTTCTCTAAAATTAAAAAAATTTGTTTTTATTAATAGAGCGCTTATGATGGGAGCAAGAAGCTGAAGCATTCGTTGAAAAGTAATTTTTTTATGCGCATTTGAAAAAAATATCATCTAAAGTTACCAAATCCAAATGTTTAGCATTGTGAGCCTATTACCAAAAATATAGTCAACTGAGATTACTTTGACAAGTGAACAAAATGTTTCATGGTATATACGGAAAGATGAAGCATCAAAAACTATTGAAAATCTTGTACATGATCTGTCTACTAGATCAACAAGAATGAAAGGGTCTCAATTTACAAATTGATAAAGTCTGATTTTCGATAGTACATCTGTTGCAATTTTTTGATATGTAACTGTTATTCCTTACAAAATGATAAAAAAAAATAGTTTCTTTTCAATATGAAGAGTAGCTTACACTGGCAGTAAACTAGCTCCGACGGACATGATCTCGAATACTTTTTAGTGTCCTTTATTCATGAAAATTTTCATCTTTGACAGATTAGTACTCCATTGTAGATGGAATAGCAAAAACATTTGTCTTAAGGAACAAATAAAATTTCTTCGTGAAGTCAAATAATGATTATTCAAATAGACAGCGCTTGGAATACTGATTACCGACATATGTTACAAGTCTATTATTAATCATATTTTAGTGGTATATGGCTGATCCCTCAAGACCATATAGTGACCATAGACTCTCAAATGCTCCACCAGAAAAATGTTCCATATAACGTTGAATCACAATTAATATTAGACTTGTATCGTATGCCTATGATCAGCGTCTCAAGCTTTGTCTAACTAGATGATAATTATGCAATCTCACAAACATTTTTTTTTCGTTTTTTGAAAAAACTGTCTTTGCTGTTTTACCCAGGATGGAATTTAAACCTCTCAGAGGTAAAAACTTTCGTGAATGAAGGACACTAAAAAGTATCCGAGATAGTTTTCCTCAAAGCTGATAACCTGGCTATTAAGTCACTTTTCGTGTTGAAAAAAAAAAATGTTTTTTTATCATTTTGTAGAGAACCAAAAGTTACATAAAATATAAAAAATCCAGCATGGTATCTTTTGATTTTAAAAAATCGCACCAGACATAGTAATCGGTAAATTGAGAACCTTTCATTTTTGTTGTTCCAGGAAACAGATCATATACAATATTTTAAATAGTTTTTGATGCTCTATCGTTTGGTATATGTTATGAAAAATTATCTCACTTGCTATAGTATAATCTCAGTTGACATATTTTGAACTATGTACTGAAAATTTGGGTTCGATGATACCCTTTCGAATGTCCATAAAAGATCAAAAACTCAAATCACGATATTCTCATGAAAGTTCTCTTAAATATTCAATTACTTTAATTCTAATTGAATTTTATCATGTTTACGTTGACTTCTTAATCGTTCAGTATCATCAAATACTTGTACAAATTCATCTTTTTTACGCTAAAATGAAAAGATATTTAAATTGAGTATAATTTTTTTTTCGCAGTTTACATCATTAATATAACGACGAACAATTTCATCAACAAGTTTATTATACCATTTAACTTGAAGATTAGTCATTTTTGTATATACAGTTACTTCTTTTTTAGGTGGTAAATGTAAATTAACATCACCTTTTCGACGTCGTAAAATAAATGGAATAAGAATCTATAAGAAAATAAAATTTAATAAATTCATTATATAAAAACACATTTATTTTACTTGACGAAATATTGATAAAACTGATCGTTCTTGTTCTTCTTTAAAATTCATATTTGAGCTGCCTATTGTATCAATTTCAAAATAACGTTCAAATACTTCCTTAAATAAAGAAGAAAAAAAAATTTTTTTTTTAAAAAAACCAAACAAAAAAAATTTTATATGCTTACAGGTTCATCAAATATTTCTGGTAAAAGAAAATTCATTAATGACCACATTTCACTCATATTATTTTGAACAGGTGTACCAGTTAATAAAAATCTACTACCTGTATGTAATCGACGAAGCATAGCCATTAATTGACATTTTGGATTTTTTAATCGATGACCTTCATCAATAACTAATAATGGCCATTGTTCTCGTTTAAAAAATGCTCTGAAAAGAAAAAAATATCAAAACAATAGATTTGATATTTTTTTTCTATTTCTTTTATTACTTATCGCTTATAATAACATGATAAGCTGTTACCAACACAAGAGGTACTGCTTTTTTCGCTTGACGATATTGATTAATTTGACCACGAAGTTCAGCCAATTTTTCTTTATTACCATGATAGATCATACAAGTGATCTGAAAATATTATATTTAAATTATTTAGTTTTATGTACTCATAGAGAAAACTAGATATTTTATGACGAAAGGTCTCTAAGTGTTTTGTTCATAAGTAGGCTCTGACGAGACACTAGTAGAAGTCTATAATAAGGATTTGCCCCATGCATTGCTCTTTTTTCAAGTTATTACAATTTTAAAGAATTCTTTTTTTTGTTTCTGACAAGATATTTGCGAAGATATTCAAGCACACAATTTCAACGTGAAATTTCGCCTATAGGTAGCTGTTGTGAATCCTAGAATTTCCTGAAAATTTCAGTCGAAAAGGATATATTCTTCTTGAGGTATTGGCTATCCAAAATTAATCATGTTTTTCCAGGAAAGGTTAAGAACCCCAGTGCTTTTAGCACTCCATATTTTAAAAGCAACACATCTTTTTAAGCTAAAACTTCAGCGCATTCTAAAGCCTACAAGAGCTATCTACAAGAAAAATTTCAGCCTGAATTTCCTTACTTCAGTTTTTTCACAAGTATTTTGCCAGAGATAAAAAGAGTCAATAAACACTGTAATAACTTGAGAAGGAAAACACATGGAGGGAGAAATCCAATAAGCTTCTACTGGTCTCATCGGAGCCTACTTATTTGCTAAATATCAGTTCAATTGACGAGTCATACTTAAGAACGTTACCTTGTAAGATAAGTTTTAACTTGTAATCACCTGATCGAGTTAGGATGGATTTTAAAGTAATGTAAAAATAAGAAAATTATATCATCATCTCTTGGAAAATATTAAATTTTCGCATAAACTCGATTTCGGATGTTTGTCTACGAAAATCTCCGATTGAAAAATTTCTCACCCATGTTACATAAACTCAATTTGTTAATGTTCATAGCAAGAATAAGATCGCGAATGATAATGAGAACAAAAATAATTATTGTTCCATTCAAAAATAAAGAAACCAATCTTGAGAAAAACTAGCAGAATATTCTTTCCATGAAAGATCAATGTCAATGCTATAGAAACACGTTTTTCGTATATATTGGTTCAATGGAATTCTAGTTTCTCATATCACAACTATTGACATGTTTATGAATCTGTTACTTACATTTGGTGCAAATCGAGCAAATTCAGTACACCAATTAGTTAATGTCGAAAGTGGTGCAACCACAAGAAATGGACCAGATGCTCCATCTTGAACTAAACTGCAAATAAATGCAATCACTTGAACAGTTTTACCTAAAGTTAAACAAAAAGGTAAACAAAACAAAACGAAATGAAATTTATAGTTTATTTAACATACCAAGACCCATTTCATCAGCAAGAATTCCATTTAGACCAACTTCATGTAATGTTCGTAACCATTCAAGACCAGCTAATTGATCTATTAACAAAATAATATAAAATTTAAACCCTACAGAAAAGAAAAACAAGGCTTACAAGGTTTCAATGATCCAACAAATAATTTCGGTTGTCGAGCTTGAATATCTTTCTCAGTCATATCATAATATTTTTCCAATAATCCTGTTCGTTTCATATCCTCATCAGTTGATTTTGTTTGTCCTTCATCTAGATGTTTTTTCATTTTCTTATGTTCTCCATGCTCAGCAATTGATTGTTTTATTTTATTATTAAGATGATGAACATATTTTTGACATCGTTCAAGAAGTATAAGTAATTTTGAATAAACATTATCATAAAGTGCACGACGTTCGTCTTCACTCATTTTCTAAATATATTAAAATTTAATAATTCTAATTTATTAATTAAGAACAATTACTTTATTTGATTCTGGTTTAATTGAACCCATAATATCTTTAATAACAATATTATCAGCTTTTTTTTCTTCTTTTTCAATTTGTTTATCTAATTGATTTTCGTCTTCTTCTTCATCACGATTATTAGCTGATAATCGAATTGAATCTTTTGTGTTATTTTCATCGGATTCCATAGTTTTTGATCGTTTTTTTGCTGGTTCATCAGTCATTTGTGAACTAGATGGTTTATTATCTTTGAATACACAAAAAACAAAGCACGAGTTTTCATGAGATTAATTTTCATTGGCATAAAGAATTTACCGCCGTTTCGTTCTTGTAAACCAGATTTTGAATGCTTTGAATCAATATTATCATGATTATCATCAGTATCAGATGCTCGTCGTTTTCCAACCATGATGTAGATAAAAATATTATGTAATAAACAAAAAATTGCACCGACCGCGGTGACCTGGATTTTCTAAACGATTTTAGCGACATCGAATGTTTTTCAAAATTGAATAAAAAATATTTATTATTGATTTTTTTTTAGAAATAAATGCAAAATTTATAATGTTCGTTATTCGATTTTAACAGATTTCTATATATTGCTAAGTTACCAAATCTATGGTTGTCAAGGAAACCGTGAAAAGATCTTTAAAAAAAACTGTTAATTATCATAGAATCTTTTTTAGAGAAGAAATGAAACGTTTACAAGCGAATAGTAATGTATATGATGATTTCATTTTGGAAAAGAAAATTAAGGCAAGCATTTTGTTTATTTAATAAATTGTTATCGATTAATAGAAAATATCTACATAGTTTAAATTAAATAAATTTTTGTAACATTTAAAGAAAAAATTTTTTTTTGTTAGCTTTATATTTGACATCGTTTCTTTCGAATAGGAATATCGTATAAAATCATCAATCACATCTGCTGATAGATATAGTAATAAGAGAATAAAACAAAGTTCTTTCGAAAATTTGTTTCAATAGAAATCAACAAAAGATAAGTTTATTTGTAAACAATACTTGTTGACTACAACAGTTTGTTCATGAAAAATTTCCCCTTAATTAGATAATAAAATCATGGTTACTCCATATGATTCATTTTCGATCAAATGAACTGACTTTTTCAGCAATGATAAAGGGTTCTACAAAGTTTTTGTTTATCAAAATAATTTTAAGAAATACTCTTGAGTACTCTTCTAGATAGACGTGTATGAGTTTATGGGATCCAAAAAAATGATTGTCTGAAAATAGAGTGTCATAAATTCACGATAGACACGGAACTTTTACTGTATTCTTTAAATGAATGCTGTAATGAAAGAAAAACTGATTTTCGAGCTTCGACTTGAAGATCTTGATGAGAATAGTTTATTGTGAAATTTTCAGGTCTTTTTATTTGCTCCTATGCTGAAATAAGAATGTCAAATTATTTGGTTTATATGAGCTGTGTAAAAGACAGACTGTTATCATAGTTATATCTTATGGTGGGAATAGTAGCAATATCTTAAACATTCACAAGCAACTACTCTTGATGAGACGCCAGTTTCCATGCAAAGTTTCAAGTCGAAATTCGGAAATCAGTTTTTCTGTTACTACAACATTCATTTAAAAATACTGTTGTAAAGGTGTAGTATCTCGGCAGCAACAAGCTAAGGATATGAACTCTTTTCAGGGTATCCATAGCTTATTTTGGTCAACATCATGCATATAGATAGGCTCGACTCTAAAGCGATTTATCAGTTGGAGGAGTTTCCTCGTTAGGTAAAAAACGACTACTTTTTCTTGAGGTCAATGGTGTTATTTTTATGAACACAAACGTTGAAGATTTCTCTATGATTGATGAAAGAAATAAAACCCTTTTAACTTACACAGAATGGAAATTTTCAAATTTTTTATCATTTTATTGTTTTACCACCCATTCTTTATATTAGCTTCCATCAAACTTCAAACCGTCTGTGATCTTCACACAAAATGATCTTGTATGTAAGACTTAAGTATAAGAAATTATCTTAATAATGATTTTTGTATTGAAATCTATAGGATACATTTCGTGAACAATTACCAATAGTTCTTCCAGATCCAGCAGAAAACTATGAAACAAAGCCATTATTATATTCAGACGAACAAAATGAAATACCAAAGATATTTGTTAACGAATAAATGTTTTTCTTTTAATTAGTAAAAGTTTTTATGTATCTTTAGGATAATATATTGCCGATTGAATATCATTCATGGGAAAATTCAATTATCTATCATTCTAATACTATTAATCCATTACAAACAGAAGAAACAGGTTGGATACCAACACGTGAATGTCGAACACTAGGTGCTTATCAAAAAGAAATATTAGGTGAATAGATATTATAAATCGAATGAAAAAGAGATTTTTTATTAATCTTCAAAGGACGTAATGTCGACTTTATTGAAAATACTCGATTTGGTATTAATAGTTTATTTTAAATTTCATTAATAATGTTTCACGTCTATTAGACGATCATGATCGTGCTATGAATTGGTATTCAATTTTTCCTTTTACTGATACTGTGATATTAAAAAATTTGATGGATAATAAAAATTTTCAATTCGATTTAAACGTATATGAATATTCGAAATTTTTTTCAATAATCTATTTTCATAGTTTAGTATAAAGCGAAATATATTAATCCTCAACAAGATCCAACAGTAATGGAATTACCAATTGAACTGCCTGTAGTTCCTATTCGAAAAGAAAAACCAACAACACATTCGAATATTAATTCTTTAAAGAATAATAAAGTCTTTTTTTTTTTTTTACATTTCTCTCCAATAATTTTGAGAACGTTCTCGATTCTACATAGGAGAATCGTTTACGTCGAACACGAAATGTTCTAGCTCGTGCAGGTCTAGTCGGTATTTTACCTGATGCTCATGATAATTATCATCATTATTATCGTGATAAAAATAAACAAGATATTAAAATTAAATCTGTCAGTTTTTGGAATTTAAGTAATGATTTTTATTATGATTTCAACGTTGAACAAGAATTTCCATCAAAACGACGAATAAATTCTTCACAAGTATGTGAAAACTTCTCTTCAAATAAAAAGTTATTGTTTTAAAATAGAATCTTGATTTTATATTCTGTCCAATATTTCGTACGATTGATGAATTACGTTATTTTCATCGTCCATTACTTGATTTACGAAATTATCATCAATCGTGGATGTGCATTCAATTATCCAATGTTAAGAATTTTAATAAATCTATTCGAACGAAATCTGATTTAACTGGTAGATATGGTGAAATACTTTTATTTGAATATAGTGAACAACATCCAGCATTATTAAATGAAATTGGAATGTTTAGTAAAATTCGAACTTATCTTCGACCGGTAAAATAAAAAATGAACTTCCAGAATAGAAGGCCATGAATTTCTCCAAAAACCTGTCTTCTGAAATCCAGCATTATTTTGTAACTAACACTATTTATTTATAGTAAAAATGCTAGTTTTTGAGCTCTTGAGATGGAAACTTTCTAAGTGTTAAACCGCTTTTGAGACAGGACTGTATGCATCATGTAGGTTCTGATGAGCTATGAATGTCTTGAAAAGATTTCGAGCTAATAGGTTATTATTACTCAGGTACTATATTTTTTAGCAGAATGTCGTGATCCTCCTTAGGAACAGCAGGAAAACTAAGATTTGAATTTCGACTTTGAACTTTCCATAGAGATATACCTTAATGAGAACTGTTCATTGTGAGAATGTTAGATCGTCTGATTATTTCTATCCTACGATAAGGCAATGGTAAAAGCATGTTGTTCACACCGCTTATATAGAGCAGCTAATTCCTATTAGTTCCGACTTAAAAAAAGACTTATTAATTGAAGAACTTTCGTCGTTTGTTGCCTGATTGAATAACAGAACATTTTTTCAAAAACGTTTGATTTTCTAAGTAAATATGAGGAAAAAAACTAGCTCACAATATAAGGTCAATTTTAAAGGAACGATATAAATTTCTATAATAGAAGGCTTTTTATTCTGGACGGAAGGGTTTAATCCATCTTGTCAGAGTTTTTATTTGATTACTTTTCTTAGCAATATTTTAAAGCTCATACAACTTCATATGAAGTTGATTATGGTGAATTAATATATACACATGCATCACCATTTCTTTGGTCAATTCCACGAGGTTTAAATATTCAAACAATCGAAAATAATATGTTTATAGCACCAATCTATCGACAAATATGTTTAACCCATGATTTTTTAATAATATTTAATCAAAAAAATGGCTTCTTTATTCGAAATATCGATATAATTTCCATTATTGGACAACAATGTCCACTGATTGAAGTTCCTATACCACAATCTAAACGTGTGAATATAATTCAACGTGATTTATTACAAATTTATATTTATCGATTATTTTTACAAAGTAATGAAATACCACGTCGAATACGTATTGATGATATCAAACGAGTTTTTCCACGTTTGGCTGAATCATCTATTCGAAAACGATTAAAAACAAGTGCAGATTTTCGAAGAAGTGGTAAGAAAAATTTTTGTTTTTGAAATTTGTTCACGTTATTTTCTTTTTTTCGATGATTGTAATTCATGGATATTGAGAGATGATTTTCGATTACCAACAGAAGACGAAATACGTGATTTAATTAAACCTGAACTTCGTTGTGCATATGCATCTATGACTGCAGCTGAACAACGTTTAAAAGGTAATTAAAAAATATATATAAAATAACTTACATTGTATAATTTATAACGAGAAGTTTTACAATCAGTTAAGTGATAATATCTATGAAAAATTAAATGCTATCAAACAATCGAATTGATTATGTAATCTTAATCTCGTAGTTTCAAACCATTTTGAAACTAAAAAAATGTTTCTACTCGAATTAGCTATCATCGTGAGCTACTTGAAAAGCTTCTAAAAAAATTATCCAAAGGTAAATTTTTCGTTACGAAGCAACTTCCCCAACTTGTTTACTGCTTTGGACTCGAAAGTATGTGCATTATGTAGATCCTAATGAGCTATAAATACCTTGAACATAGTCCACGTTCATATCTTATTGCTACGGAGATACTGAATCTTTACGGTATTTTTTTCACTCAACGCCGTGGTTCTCCTCAAGAACTTCATGAAAACTTATTTTCCAGCTTTGATTTAACATTTTGCACAAAGACAGATCTTAATGACAATATTTTATTGTGAAAGTTTCAGCTCTTTTGATTTGCTTCTATCCGGACATAAGGTTACCGAAGTCGTCAGTGTATAATGGTGAAATAAAGTTAAAAAGCAGTTGCTTTTTAAAGTTTTCTTCTGGTAATAGCTATCAAGAATCTGAAAAAAAAAAAGATTGTGTAGCTAAAAAGATTCAACTCTATCAAATGAAGTCTTTGTTTCAAGAAGCTTTGAATGGAAGTCAGAAAGCTGGTTTTGGAGATCTTAGTTCTCCACAGACTCTCATCCAAACAGTTTTACTGAAGTCTTCGGACTTACCACTCGTGATAGAAAATACTTTCAGCTACACAGATACTTTTCCAAATTCTTGACAATCCTCGTTAAGGACTATCGCTGTGCAAAGTTTCAAGTCGAAATTAGAAAATCTGTTTTCCTTGCGTTGCCGAGGGGAACCACAGTATTAACTTAAAACATACTTTAATAATGCTGCGTGTCAGCAGCCATAAGCTAAGAGTCTAAACTGTTTTCAGGATATTCATAGCTTATTAGGATCTGCATAATATACATAGACGCGACTTCAAAACGATTAATTAGCTGAGAAATTTTCCTCGTTAGATTTAAATGGCTCACTATTCTCTACCCTTTTAATGAGCAAGCAAACCTTATAAGAATACATTGAATAGTATTAAAGTTTGTTTTGTACCGTAAAATGAATCTTCACAATGCCTATCATTCACTTCATTGAGTCTCACATTGTAATTACTGTTGATAGTCTTTTTTTCCTAACAACATTTTTGATTAAATTATTGTTGAGTATATACGTATATATATATACTAGATGCTGGTTTTTGTGATAAATACAATATTGACTTTGATGATGACGAACAATCTAATTATTCATCTGACCTTAACGATGAAATTTTACAAGCACCATGGAATACAACACGTGCATATCTTGGTGCATTAAAAGGCAAATGTTTAATGCAAGTGTTTGGTATTGGAGGTAAGCAGAATAATAATCCTACAAATGATATTTAACTATTCTCATATGAAATTACTGTTCTCGTTTTTCAAGCTAAGACTATTCATAAAACTAAAGTAAGAAACAAATATTCAATTAATACAACATATAAAATATAGACTAATAATGATTTAAAACATTTTCGTCGAGCTGTAACTGGTACTGATGCAGATCTTCGTCGTTTACAATTAAAAGATGCGAGAAAATTATTACTTAAATTTAATATATCTGAAAAAGTTATTCAATCATTAACTCGATGGGAAATAGTGGACTTAGTAAGACAAAAAAAGAAGAGAAATATTTATGAGAAAACAAAATGAATGTTTCAAATAAATTTAAATAGGTTCGAACATTATCTACGCAACAAGCAAAAGAAGGCATTAGTGGTGGTAGATATATATATATATGATATTCGAATTTTTCTATTCTAATGTTATTCTTTTAAAAAAAAAAAGGAATGGTTAAATTTGCTCGCGGTGTGAAACATTTACAAGCTCAAGAATTTGAAAAATATAAAGAAAATTGTCAAAAACAATTTGAACTTCAAAATCGGTAAATTTAATTTTTGTTTTTCATAAGAAAAACAGATATGTTTTTTATTTTGACTAGTCTTTTCACATGTACAGATGAACAATCAACTGATGAAGATACGTCAGAAGAAAGTGATGAAAATGCTCAATTACTTGATGAAATGAGTCGAACATTAGAAAATCTCTTACGACAAAATAACGCAATAAATACACCAAATTCAAGTTCAAACGAAGTTAAAAATTATACTTTTTTTTCTTATTAGTTAAACTTATTCTATATCTTTTTTTAGCGTCCGAAAATGTTACATATTATTCGAACTTATATTGATAATCAAGGTCAATCTTATCAACAAGAAGAATTTGTTCGAAATAATGATTCAGTTATTCAAGCATACATTAAAATTCGTCAGACTAAAAATGATAAATTTATGTAAGAACATTTTTGAGTTTTCATTTTCTTTGACATAGAACTAAAAGATTTCGACAATTCGTGACATGTTAACTATAGTGTCCTGCAACTCGGATTGATTGAGATCCGAATATGCAATCCTATCCGGATCCGACTCAGCAATTAATAAGATCTCGACAGTTTAAAATATTTTTACTTTTTCAAATTGTTAATTTATATTAAAGGACAAGAGTGAAAATCGACTCGATCATGACTAAACAACTTGTTGTACTTGAGAACAGATCACAGAAGTACAAAATGATATTGTTTGACTACAGGAATTTGTTTTTAATGAGTTTTCAATCTACAGATAATGATCAACTATATGACAAAGTAATTGAATATATGAAGAAGAAAATGAATTATAAAAAAAGGTGAACATGTATTATCGTGATGGAACAAGCGTTTATACATATATCTACAATTATGACTTTTGGCATCAACACTGTATTCCATTCCAGCTTCATTAGCATCAAGCAAATCTATGCTTAGCAAAATTGATAGGTTTCTAGAAATAGAAAAATGCCAGGTGAATCATAAATCACTTGCTTTTTCATAAAATTCGAGATGACCTCTCTTTTTATTGATATTCATGAAAAAAACTAAATAATATAATTTTTCGTATGAAATAAAAGTTTGAAAGCCGGACTGTGACCGTGACTGTGAAAGCACTTGCCGGATATCGATTAACTCCGATTCATGTTCAGGTCTAGTTGCAAAAGGTTTTACCCGTGCAGGACACTAATGTTAACATCTCAAGAATCTTATCTTTAGTTATGTGAGGATATTATGAGAAAAAGTCTTTAAAGCTTTATGCCAAAAATATTTGAATTTGGTTTCTCTTTCTCTTGGAAATTATATTCTAGTAAAGCGTATTATACTTTGGATGAGACTGAACGTGAAACATTAAAACGAGAACGTCGTCGTCTTCAAGAACAACTTCGTCGAGTAAAACGAAATGAAGCACGTTATAATCAATATGAAAAGCAACAAATATTATTACAAATACAACAACAAAATCTAGCATTAATTCAATCAGCTGAAACATGCCAATTACCATCGTTATCATCGTCTCCGATTAATTTAAAACGTTCAAATAGTATTCTGTCTAATTTACAATTAAGTATGAGTGAAGATGATGATCATTCTTCTTCATCAATATCTTGAATATTAAATCATCAAATGTAAACTTTTAACAAGACAATTACGTCGTTTTTCTTTCTCTTTTTTTTTAATGTTGAATACTTCAGCTTTTTTGTCTCCATTTAACAATATGTATGTTCGATAATGTATTCGACCACTTGATCAAGTGTTTTTCAACTTTGTATGAAGACAAAGAAAAAAAGAACAAGTCGGCAAACAAAAGTAGTTTTCATTCATTTCAATATATGTTGTTGACTAATCATCATTACACCCAGCAGCAGTTGTAGAAGCACAGAATATGTATATTTTTATTTGTACAAATCGTGTTTGTGCTGTTAGTCAAACCACTTCGTACTTATTCACACATTACTGCTGCTTGGTTACAACATAAAAAAAAAAAAGAAGAAATCATTTAAATTATTGAAATATATTTAATTTTTCTTCGTCTTCTGAAAGGTTACATTTTTATCGATATATATGTAGATATAGATATGTATTCATATGAAAAACCTTCATTGATATGGGAAGAGTGAAAACTAACGAAATAAATTGAAAAAGAACATGCGCGAAATAGACACGCGTATGTATACATGGTCACATTATTATTGTGCTTGACTAGTTCATTAAAAAATTATAACAAGCATTGCAATACAAAAAGAAATAGAGCGCCTCGAAACATTTTTTATTTTTATTGTTATTCGCCACATTGTATCAATACAAATGATTATGACCGATTTCTAGAGGCACAAAGGAATCTCCATCAATATACAATAACTTGAATCGATACTAAAATACTAGATTTGTTTTCCAAAATAACCAAATAAATTTTATCTCAAGACAATCCATGTTTAATAATGAACAGAGAATGTCATATGATATCTTTTTGTATTAAAAAGTACTTTTTTCTTTCAATACTATGATCGTTTATCTATGATTAAATATCTTGCATTTAATTTACACATACCAACAAGGTATCATCCCCGATCAATCAATAACCTTTTTTCTTTTCTATTCTCTTTTCATATTCAACCAATATAAATTTTCTCTTTACGCTCATTGGCTTGTCGATGCATGCATATATGCACATCGAGCGAATGCGAAAGACACAGAGAGAGAGAAAATCGTTTGTGATTAATAAAAACAATCTTTTTCTATTTAACATTACTGTCACCTAACTAGACATATTGAGAATCATTTTCTCACTTGTGTGTAGGCGTCATTGGTTTTTTTTCTTTTTTTCTATTAAATATTTGCAAAACAATTATCGTACAAGAAAATCGACAAACTACCAAGACTTCATCATCATTGATTGGTAGAATAAAGGAACAAGAGAGAGAGAGAGAGCGAGAGAAAAAAAAAGAGAGAAAACGAGACAACGAACACGATCGATTAACGACTACATTATTGACTATTGATTGTCAAAAGAAACTATACATACAACCGATACATAATATTATAAAATAATGTATCAACTTCCTCATTATTCTGATGCACTTAAACAATTTCCATCGGCTGCACTTTCAGCTTATTTTGCTGGAACTACAAATAATGGAAATGGTATTGTTCATAATACTGCTCATCATCCTTTAGCAGCAGCAGCCGCTGCTGCCGCTGCTGCTGCTGTTGTTTCACATACAAATCCATTTTCCATTGATAATATTCTTGCTTCGCGTCCGCGTTTATCTGTACCTTTATCGTCCTACTATGGTCCAACAGCAACAAATACAGCTCAAGCTGCAGCTGATTTCTATTGTAAGTATATACTTTTAATGAATGAAGATAAAGGTGTTAGAGCGAAAAGTTTACCATTTTTTTTTTCGAATATTTGCTTATGATAAATGTGTTTAATTGCTGGTATGGTCAGTGATTCATTCTAACTAGATATTGTTTCCAATTCGTCACCTATTTTCGAAATAACGCCAAAATAGTTATTATTGTATTTGATAGGACAAAAAAGTTCAAAGAGAAAAAAAAAGATGATTGCTCATGTAAACATAGAACGATTTTCCGCTGTCGGGCACACATAGTAAGAAACTTATGGATTTGCTTATTTGACAAAAAGTCAATTATCTTTTATGATTTAGAAAATAGTTTCTATTTAATCTCAGTACGGGAGAAAGAACATTTTGTAATAATTAAAATAAATAAATCATTTTTTATCTTATCTAGCATTACAAAATTTCTTTGCTGTGGCTTCCATGGCACAAAATCATAAACGAAAAAGAAGACATCGAACTATTTTTACAGAAGAACAACTTGAACAATTGGAAGAAGCTTTTGGTCGTACACATTATCCAGATGTTATGATGAGAGAAGGTAAACAAAAAAAGATGCTTTTTTGTTGCCATTTTAAAAACAATTATAACTATAGATTTGGCTATGAAAATTGATCTCAAAGAAGAACGTGTTGAAGTAAGTGTAGCATTTGGAGAAAATAATTTTTTTCTTCTCTTCTTTTCATAAATTCAACTTTTTTTGAAAAGAAAACCTGTTAAAATTGATGTTCTTTGTCTTTTAATCCTATAAAGGTCACACACAAGTCTAAAAGAAAAATATTTTTGCAATCATTATTTCTTTTATTAATGACTTGAAAAATATAGAAGTTAGTTTTAGTTTGCTTTTCCTATTTGTTTTATCGATAATTTTGATTGTTATTTTAACAGTTTAATGATCGAATGAAAATTGTTTGATCAGCTTATAGACGCGCGGCATTAAGACTTTTTCGTATTAAGTAACAAATAATGAAAAAAAAATATTCTTATTGTTTACATGATTATATATAAAAATGCATCGGATATATATTTTAGAATAAATATAATAAAACTTGAAAAAATAGACTTTGCCCATTAGGTTTATTTAATACTTGTTACTGTTTTTTTGTTAGATAGAAGGCCGTGAGAAGCTTTTATCGTTATGCTTGTTTAATGGAAGGAAAGAAGGCACTTGCTGACAATGTCGAGTGATTTCAAAATCGCATTCATTTTCTTTTTTTCTTGTTTAAAAAAGAAGTTGATTTCTTATATTACCCTCTGGGTGTAAGAGCATTCGATTGATTGGTGTTGTTGACATGACGACTTTTCTAGTAGATATATTGCTTCTTGTGTCTTTTATATGAACTGTTTTCATTGACAGAAGCAATCGAACGATTTAGTTTATCATTTGCCAATTATCCGCTGATTGCTGCTTAAATAAACTTGACTGAACCCAAGTAAAAGAGAGATCAGCTTCTCGCATTTGAAAGTGATCGAATTGAAGAAAAGAGACAAAAAGAAAAAAAGAAATATATATATATATATATATAAGTGCCGAAGCCGGGATGATCTAAAGACAAATCCAGTCTTTACTATACTCTCATTTCATGTTCTTACTCTTATCTCAAGAGATTTTTTTCCATTTCCTTTTAACGCCCGCCTACTCTTTGTGTTCCATCATATCCGATTGCTCTTTTCTTTATTATTCACATTGATCTATATTGAACGATATTAACAACAACAATCATTTCGTTGTTTTCTCTACTACTAATGTTCAATGATGTGTTTTTCTTTCTCTTTTGTCTATTGCTACTAATAGGCTAATAATTCATAACATATTCTTGTCAATATCGGTTAGATTGTCGACGTATATGTATACATAGATATCATTTGTCTCCTTCCCGGAATGAAGTTGATGTACTATGTATATTTTGACTTGATTAATTTTTATGCATGATCACACTTGAAAGAGAAAAAGAAAAATGCATAATGGACGAAAGACATTATGACCAATGGGTATACAAATTTTGATAGATTGCACCTGCATTATGATAGTAAACCAACCGTAACATTGTTCTTTCTTCTGTTTTGTTTTTGTTTGATCATTGATTAGAAATATAAATGATTATTTAATATTTTAGGTTTGGTTTAAAAATCGTCGAGCAAAATATCGAAAACAAAAACGAGAAGCAACTGAACGATGTAATATTGTTCTTTGTTGTCTATTCTTATTATTTTATTATAAGATTTATGTAGGTCGTCGTGAAGCTCTTGATAAATCACAACGAACTGATGGTGAAAGTATTGCAACTGGTTCATCAACACCAAGTGCAAATTCAAGTTCATCATTAAGTAGTATTGGTCAAGAAACATCAACTAATGTTGATCATTCACTTCCAACATCACATAATTTAGTTGCATGTCCAACAATACCAAGTAATAATAGTGATAGTTCAAGATCAGATATCTCACTAGGTACTCAATCAACACATTCACCAAATTATAGTCAACAACCATTAGCTTTAACAACTAATGGAAGATTAAATAATCATAATTCAGTACCGATTAATAACAATTATCGTAAAGAAACTTTTCCAATAAATCATATGAGACCACATGTCATTTCAGGAACAGCAACAAATAATAATAACACTACACCATATCTTAAACTGTAGAAATCATTTTTTTTTTCTTTTTGTGTTATTGTTGTGTGTATGTGTGTATAGTATTTCTTCTGCCGCGATTCTTTATTTTCTAGTTATTTTTTGCCCTTGAACAGTGTCATCCTTATTCTTGTTGTCAATAAAAGAAAAAAAAATTATATATAATCAAATGAAAAGTAGATATAAGAAACAAACTTTAAGAAAATGATCGCTATCTTATGATGCTCGGTAATATCTATTTATTAATCTGAAATCTGATTTGAAAAAAAAAAACACTTCAATAGTGATATTAATATGTTTATGAGAATATGATTCATGCTGTTCGATTAAAACTTATTTAATTAATGAAAAATATTCTCTTCTGTGTAGAAATTTAGTTTTGAAGAGACGTGCAAGAGTAATTATGAAAGGTAATGTGAAAATATTTTTCAGTTTCTAGTTAATGAACAAAAAAAAAGATTGGTTTCAGTATGTCAAAATTGATTACTATGTTATTTGAAATTGATAAAATCATGATTTTTTTCTTCATTACAGTCGTTATGCTTAAGATTCACTAAAAGATATTATGCGTGGTATTCTCTAGAGGGCGCACTAACTTCAAGGTATCTGTACAGGAGGTCAGTAGTTAGCAGAGTATTTTTCTGTCACTCTATCATCAGTATGTCATAGCATCTTTGTTGAGTATTCTGCTGAGTATTATCTCAGCACATAGGTACTGACAAGGTATGTACTCAGTTTCTATAACATTTCATGAAACATTTTTCAACAAGTTGGTATATTGAACATTTAGAAGCATTTTGTAGTTAAGTGTTAAAAGCCCATAAAGCACCTCAAAGGACTGAAGTACTCAAAGGTTTTTGTGACTAGAGTTTGTTGATTTGGTCTCTGATCCAGATTTGAGTCCAGAAACTTGGAACCCAACGGATTCTACTTTTAACATATTGGTAGCAGATGACCCTGAACTTAGTACATTCATTAGGGTTATGACTCGATGTTAGGATTCGCTTGTACTGTTTTAATATTAACTGCAAAATTTATTTTATTCAAGCTTAAAAATTATTTCATTATAATCATTGTCCGCTCTTCACCTTTTTGATTCGATCATTCAAGGCAATTTCTAAGAAGTTTTTCGAAAAACAAAAGTTGTTCCGAGATTAAAATTATCTTTAATCACGGAATAAACTACACCATTCGATTGCTCAGGTCATAATCTATATTTCTACAGGCGTTATGATTCTTTGTTACCATCTTCATTATGTGCTTTTTCATGTGACATTCGAATGATGTTTGTGATCGAACTAAGAAACGGACCACAGTTCGATTACCTAATATAAAATACTTGAAGTTGTGATGAATAAGCAGGAAAAAAGATCTAATACCGATCAATGAATATCTATGTACAAAGTATGAGCATTATAGACTCTACTTTACATAGTAAGTTATTGTCGTCATAAGATGAGTAGCCTTCACTTTTCACATAGAAGAATACAGTAATAAATATGAGAACTAGTTTTATTTGTGTGCCTCTGAATCGAAGTCAGCACACAAACTCTTTAGATTTCTAGAGAGTACATTACAACCTCATCGCCCAGATTTATTTTTGAAAAGTAGATTAAGTTGTATATCACATTTGGATAGTACCGAAGAAAAATAAAACAGAGAATTAGATCTCAATACATGTCTAATCGTTAGCCAACAAAATCACCATCTTCCTAACTTTGTGAAGAATGTTCCTTGGAATGAAAACAACTTCCATGAATGAAGAAGTCATCCAATGTTGCGTACGCGTTGTTCAATAACTTATTTACGAATATGTTTCGAGCTTGTAATGTCTTTTTCATCGACTAAACTTTTGAAGTGATAGCATCTGATTATGTTTTGAACAATTCAGAAAATTGATTGATGTAAAAAAAGCCTGTATCGTTACTTGATTGGATGAGAATTTCAGTTAATATTCAATGTCTCGTTAGCAAGGGCCTTTACAACTCTAAATATTCTATGTTTTGTTATTGAATTCATTTAAAATTTAATATAGGATGACGTTCTTTAGTTAGATTCGACTCTCATTTTCTCTATAGTTTCGACGCATTATTTATGTCGTAGAATCATCTCTACATAGTTTTTGACATAAATCAACTGGTCCATATTAAGAGATTTAATTATTCTAATTGATTCTACGCATATTTATCAACATAATATTGATTTAATTTGTTTTGTCTTTAGTTCCATATTTAGTGATTTTGTTATTCCTGTTGAAAAAAGAAAACATTCGAAACACAAAGTATAGGCATTTTATGAGAAATGGCTTATGAAACTGAAGAAAATTGCGTTCGATGAGATACCCAATAAGAAGCTATGTGAACCGATAGTTGTTCTGTCTGAAGACAATTGAGCAAAATATAACGTCTTTTCATGTTACTTAGAATAAATATTTAGTAGATGCCTTTAATGCCGAATGACATTATTTACATGCTTGTATTATGCACTAATTGATCTTTATATTCTGGTACTGTTGTTGAATCGTAGGATGACACTTTAATATATATTCATTTCTTATTCGTTTTCTTATCACTCTGAACTTGTCGATGAAAAGAAATAAGTTAAATCAGCTGTCTTAGTGGTACTGAAAACTTTGTAAATAAAATAAGCTTCAGCAGCATAGTTGTTCTTGGTGAATACGTTTTTCGATTCTAACAAATACATAGGAGCACTATGAACAGTGTGGAAGCTAAGAGTTTTTTTAAAAGTTGATAGTTGAGAAGGATGGCAAAAAGTTAGAATGGTTATAACTTGGGTTATAACTATAACTCATTTTAACTCAATTAACTTTTTGAATTTTTGAGTGGATCTAAATAAGCTGAAATAGTAACTATTTTGATTTAACTGATATGTTTGATAGACTAAATTAACGTATATGTACGTAATTCATTGTGTTTTACTTTAAAAAGCTTAGTTTTCATAGATTTTTCTGTGAAAGTATTTTTCATGTAGCCGTCTGCAAGTTACATTTTGTCGTATTTATATAGTGAGTGTGAATGCACGTGTAACACGATATATCTTTCGTTGCATGGCCAGTGATAATCTTTGAATGTTAGCCGCTGAGAATAGTATTCAAGAACTACAATTACTGTATTTTATTTCGTATTCTCTGAAATGGCGGCAATTATCTTCAACATATCTTGTAAGAAAATTTAAACAACACTCTCTATTAGTATAGTCACATTTATTTAAGCACGAAATACCTATATGAAGTTATTCTCAGTTGATTTTTATATGTTTATCACTACTTTTATCAGTAGATAGATTGTTCTGTTGTTCTCGTTCTTCCTTGTTATTATATCGACACACTTGAGAAAAAAAAACGAAAGAAAAAAGAAATGAAAGCAAGAAGGGGAAAAAGAAGAGAAGATGCAATCATTGTTTTCTTACAAATTAAGGCCGCCTCAAAAATTGATCTCACCCCAGGAACGTTTAAATGGCATGAATTTTTAAGGATATATTGAGGTGGTACTGGATGAGCTACAGTAAAATTTTCAGCCCGAAAACATGGCGTTTGAGGGAGATACTTCTACACAATTATTTCTTTTGTTTAAAAGAACATGTCGGGATGCTGTGCAGGACAGAGCCTTTTTTTAAAATTCTTACTTGTTAAGGGGAGAAAAGAAACTGAAAATTCAATGTTTCAAAAAACTCTCTAAACATGGCGCTCTAATTCTATAAATATTCGTATATGTAGTAAAAGCAGAGCTTCATCAAAGAAAGGGCTCTGTACTGTACTGCGTCTTGACGTGCTCTTGCAAATGAAAACAAAAACAAAAATAATAATAAATGCATAGAATAAGTATCGACAGAGAAATTGAGTTTGCACCATTAAGAAACTATAAATGGAGAAAAAACGAAAAAGATTTTGTTTTTTCTGAAAACAGATTATTTTTCGAATAGGGTATGATAGAAATCTGGACAAATTTTTGGAAAAAAAAAGAGATGCCAAGTGAAAATTTTTATCTTTTATGAAAGACCAGATCACGAACTATCTTCCTATGCATTTATCTTAATTTCGACCATTCTAACGAAAATTGACTTCTTTTTAGAGGGGCTTAGGGAAAAAGAAAAATGCTTTCTACATCACTCAGAGGAGTAGAGTGGACGATGGCTCGTTGATGCATGGTGTAAACGTAACCTATATACGATATGGATATGACTAATAGTTTTAATTAGTCTCAAACTATGTACAAAAAATTAGAATAGTAATGAAATTTAAATAGATTTAAAAATGATTCTAATCAAAAATAGCTGAAAAAAAATCAAAATTCCATTGATTCTTCTGATCAATTTCGATTATAACCGGTTACAAAATGATTAAAATTCGATTAACAGCATATGAGTTATATCGATTTTTATCTGATTTTTATACCAATTCTTTCTTACATGGGTAATCTTGAGTAATTTTGAAAATTGTATTGGCCAATGACTATAACCAAACTGTTTCTAAATACAGTTCAAGGTTGTAACTACGGCCGAAAGTTATGGCTACAGTTGACAGTTATAATAGTTAATTTCAACGTTCGACCGATCTTCTCTATTATGAAACCTTCAAAAACATACTTTTAACTTAAAGCCGTGCATGTTTGATAAATATATGTTCAATCAAAATGATTGTGATTTGTGTAATTCGTACGTAGCTGTTAACATAGAAAAATATATGTCAAAAACAAACAATTCTTCTATGATTGTGAAATAAAAAAAAGTATTTCAAAGATGCTTTTTGAAGGTTTTTCACGCAGTCAAAAACATATTCAGCAGTCGCACTTGTTATTGTGTCAGACTCAACTCCGCTGAAGCACTCGAAAGTATCCGTCCAATGTAATTCTTTTGCTCAAGTAGACAGAACTATGATAAGTTTCAAATGACTGAAAGGTGGTTGGGGAGTCAATAGTTTTGTTTCGATAGGTTTTCTTATGCCAAGTACTCGAAAGTTCGATGAGTGACCCGAGGGGTCAAAAAATGTTCGA